GGGCAAGAGGGAGTAGAAAGTCCCATGTCTCAAAGAAAACAGGGAGGGAGATGAGAAAATTGCCTGAAGGCATCCTCCTGCAACACAGGGAGCCTTCTAGATGAAAGAACGGCAAATGAGAAAAAGATCATGCAAAGGCTCTCACAAAACTGTCTGGCTATGCTCCTGGGAGGATCACAGGGTGTGTTCCACCAAGACAGTTCAGTCTGAGGTTCAGGGTCCGCCTGCATGGCCGATCAGGATACATGCAGGGTCAATACCAGGATGCCAAGCAGGAGCCACCGCCCTACAGACACAAAATTTTAGTGCTCTTTTAAAGAAGGAATATTCAGAGAATACAAAATAACAACATCTTTGGGATATTAAACATATGTTTGAAGTTTAAAAAAAAATCATTGGAAGAACCAGAAGAGAAAATTGAGAAAATATAAAGGAAAGTAGAAAAGATGAAAAATAGAAACAATAAGAAAAAAGAATCAGGCCTAGATATCAATATCTGAATAAAGAGTTCTAGAATAAACACTAGAAAACATAGAGGGAAGGAACTTTTCAAGCAGTATTTTAAAACTTCCCAGAACTGAATGACATGAGTTTCTCCACTGAAGACATCCTCCTGCAAGACAGGGAGCCTCCCAGATGAAAGAACGGCAAGTGAGAAAAAGATGATGCAAAGGTTCATGATTAACTCTTTACCATTAAATGAGTAATTCAACAGATAAAAAAAAGATCCATATCCTGACATATCATCAAAAATTTTCAGAATATTGGGGATAGAGGTTAGATTCTGACAGCTCCCAAAGAGAAACAGGACACACATTAAGTATCAAGAATCAGAATGACCAATACATTTTCAAATTTAATGGAAGTTAGAAGGCACTGGTGAAACTACCATCAGAGTGAACAGGCAACCTACAGAATGGGAGAACATTTTTGCAATCTACTCATCTGACAAAGGGCTAATATCTAGAACCTACAAAGAACTCAAACAAATTTACAAGAAAAAAACAAACAACCCCATCAAAAAGTGAGCAAAGGATATGAACAGACATTTCTCAAAAGAAGACATGCATACAGCCAACAGACACATGAAAAAATGCTCATCATCACTGGCCATCAGAGAAATGCAAATCAAAACCACAATGAGATACCATCTCACACCAGTTAGAATGGCAATCATTAAAAAGTCAGGAAACAACAGGTGCTGGAGAGGATGTGGAGAAATAGGAACACTTTTACACTGTTGGTGGGATTGTAAACTAGTTCAACCATTATGGAAAACAGTATGGCGATTCCTCAAGGATCTAGAACTAGATGTACCATATGACCCAGCCATCCCATTACTGGGTATATACCCAAAGGATTATAAATCATGCTGCTATAAAGACACATGCACATGTATGCTTATTGCAGCACTATTCACAATAGCAAAGACTTGGAATCAACCCAAATGTCCATCAGTGACAGACTGGATTAAGAAAATGTGTCACATATACACCATGGAATACTATGCAGCCATAAAAAAGGATGAGTTTGTGTTCTTTGTAGGGACATGGATGCAGCTGGAAACCATCATTCTTAGCAAACTATCACAAGAACAGAAAACCAAACACCGCATGTTCTCACTCATAGGTGGGAACTTGGACTCAGGAAGGGGAACATCACACACTGGGGCCTATCATGGGGAGCGAGGAGGGGGGAGGGATTGCACTGGGAGTTATACTTGATGTAAATGACGAGTTGATGGGTGCAGCACACCAATATGGCACAAGTATACATATGTAACAAACTGCACGTTATGCACATGTACCCTAGAAGTTAAAGTATAATAATAATAATAAATAAAATAAAATTAAAAAAAAGAAGGCACTGGTGCAATACTGTAAAATACAGGACAATGATTTCTGGCATGTAAACATTATTATTCACAGAAAGTTTCGATCAAGTATGTAGGCAGAACTGAGCCATGCTGGGTCACACTAATGAATCAGAATAACTTATTGTGCATGCAGTCTTTCACAGGAAGCTGTTGGAAGAGGTATGTCACCAAAAGAGAGAGAATTCAGGAAATGGGGGATCCAACATAACAGAGGTGAAGAGCAACCAATCCAGATTAGAATAGTACAGAGAGCTCCAGAAGGAATATCTTTAAAGAAAAAACTGATGGATTATATGACGTGTTTGAACCTACTGAGAAAAGATTTACATTTCAGGAGGACAGCCTGGGTGTAAATTCACATCATTTCGTTCTGGGAAGTTTTAAAATACTATATACTACTATATAGCAGTCTTCTGCTATATAGACCACTTAGCAAATAAAACAATAAGGCAGTATTATTAATTCCAAAAAACTCAAGCCAAAAATTGGACCAAAAGAGGAAATATAATTACAGATACCACACATTCCAGTTGTGAATAGTATTTAGAGTCAAAATAGTATACATATTGAATGCTAACTTAACCAGAAAGTGTGATGTAACTGCACTCTACTGTGAAAATGAGACAGGAAGATATGTGCTTAGAAGAGAGGCAGAGGAATTACAGCTTAATCTTCAAATCCCAAAATAGGCCAACTGATAAAAAATCTAAAACTGAAATATAAAAAAAGGCATAATAATGTTATTTAAAAATACAGAGATAAATATTACAGGTAACAGCTAAATAGCTACATTTGTGGACCGCAGTGAGTAACTCTACAGAGTATATATTAATACTTATCAAGCAATCTTGACACTTAAGACTGGACAGGTAAAAGAAAAAAAAATACTAGATTGTTCACATCCAGCAACAGTGAGAGATAAGAGAGACTAAACAAATGCCTTCATTTTGAATTAGGTGGGGAAAGGAAGGGAGATGAGAAATACTTGAACTCAAAAGAGTTCTGTAAGTTTGGCAAAGTTGACAGCGTTCTGTATTGGAATCACAGACTATTATAGCTGAAATAAATCTTACATATTGGCTACAATTTATTTCCCTCATTTTACAGTTACTTGCCTAGATTACACAGCTGGTTAGGCAGAATCAGGCCCTTCTGCTCTTAACTCTCACATTCTTTTCATTGTATCACAAAGCATTTAAAAATAATTATTAAATATCAAATATGTCAGTATGTTGACTACGAGTTCCTATTGATATACTTCACTGTTTTATTTGAAGAATATAAAGAAAATATAAACACATCTAAAGATGAAGTTTTAAGTTAAAATATATTGGCCTTTTAAAGAATTAAGCAGATACAATCAAGGAAAAGTATCCATAACTGACCTCTTCCTGTTTTTTATGATGGACTAGAACTGAGAATTTTTAAAGTTTTTAGGCTGCCCAAATATTTGGCCCAAATTACAGGTTCAACTCTGCTTTATCTACCTTGAAAATGGCATTGAAAAATGGTGATTTTATTACAATTTGTATTACTGTCCAAATGGTTCAGAATACCTTTAATCAGGTAACAAATCCTAAGATCTAACATTTTGCTGAAAATAAGTTTTGGCCAAAAGATTTATAAGGAAAGAACATATTGCCTGATTAACTGGAGGAATGAATAGTGTTCAACAAAAAGATGTGTGGATTTTGAGTGATTTTTCATAATTGAAATGTTACTGGTAACCTGTTGATAGACTTTTAGAACATATCTGTGTGGATTAGTAGGAACATCTAAATGTGAACCAAAGCTTAGTTTGAGGTATCTGCTCATTAACACAGAAGACTTATTATCAGTTGCCACCCAGCATTCAAGATTTGAGGGGCCAGGTTCTGTGGTGTGTGCCTGTGGTCCCAGCTACTCAAGAGGCTAACGTGGGAGAGATAGCCTGAGCACGGGAACTTGAGGCCAGCCTGGGCAACACAGCAAAAACCTCGTCTCTAAAAAAATAAAAATAAAAAGGATTTAAGTCAAGTTCTTCATCAAATATCGGGATTGCTTGACAGTGAATACAAATTCAGCTGCCATTTTTTTTGTTTTAATTATTAATTAAATATTGCCTAAAAATGTTCCTCACCTTAACAAAAGGAAGGAATTGGGCATAAAAACAAGCAGCACCCATGTCTTTATTAACCAGTCGACTACATGATAAAAATCTATATTGTAACATCTCTAGGTTTAAGATTTTTTTTTTTTTTTTTTTGAGACAGAGTCTCACTCTGTCTCCCAGGCTGGAGAGCAGTGGCACGATCTCGGCTCACTGCAAGCTCATCTCCCGGGTTCACACCATTCTCCTGCCTCAGCCTCCCGAGTAGCTGGGACTACAGGTGCCTGCCACCACACCTGGCTAATTACTTTTTTGTATTTCTAGTAGAGACGGGGTTTCACCGTGTTAGCCAGGATGGTCTTGATCTCCTGACCTCATGATCCGCCCGCCTTGGCCTCCCAAAGTGCTGGGATTACAGGCATGAGCCACCGCACCTGGCCTCTAGGTTTAAGATTTGAGTAAGACTGAGAACCTTACAGGCTTTCAATAAATACCTCTGAGCTGATTATTTAAATGGCAGCATCAGATAGATACATGGTATTTTCCCATTACTTAGGTATTTCTAAAGCAAACATTCCCATTCTCTAAAGCCATTAGTTTTCAAAAATCTCTCAAGTATTTCAACATTTTAAAAGAAGAAGAAGACAAAAAATTGATTTTCCAAGGTAGGGAATTAAGTAGACTAATTTGTTTTGTTCACTCTACCTCACACATATCCACTCCAGTCAAATGTCCTGTAAATCATTCTGCATAGAGCAGAACAGACACAAAATGCTTCATGAAGATGGAGACTGTAATCATCTACAAAGCCCTCAGACCTTTTTTACTCTTATATGTTTAATCATACAGATGCCATCTACAGTATTTTGCAATTAGTAAGCAGCAATAAAGTTTATTCTGTACTACTTTAGCATATTAACTATTACTTTAAGTTGAAATAGAAAAATTATATCAATGTCTTTTCGTCTTGAAGTAATAGCAATGAAACTCATAACTCAAATCTGTTTACCAGCCTAAGAGAAGTATTTAAAATCATTAGGCTTCTTCTATGCTTTATTAGAAATATTTACGGAGGGGAAAAAATGGTAGAATTATTCCAAGGCATGTTCAGGAACAACAACAACAACAAAAAGAATTTGTAACTGCAATTCCAACGTTTCATAAATGTCCTCTATTTCCATTTAAAAACCCTTTAAAATTAACATAATTAAAGCAGCTAATAAAATACAATCCCTGCAACTTTTATATATAAGGAAAAACCTCATATAGTATCAGTAGACCACGGCTGATAAATAAAATACGCTGTATTCGTTATCAAATATAGAAACAACAGTTCGAGATTTATGTTTTTTGAAAAAATTAATTTATTTTAAGTTAAGGATCTCTATGTAAATTTATTTTGGTATCAAACAACTGCAATTAGTGATGGGGGGATAAAAGCATCCATAATTGTGGAAGGATGGTAATTTATTTACAAAAACTATACAAAATTAGATTAATTATAACTTATCAAAGGTTCCTGAAATCAATTTTGCTTTTGAAAAAGTATCAAAAGTCTTCAGATCCAGAATGACAGCATTTTATTATTTCTGATTCACGAAATTATAGCACATCAGATCTTTAAGCAACTACATCAGATAAAATCCTAGATAATAAAATATTCTCCATTTCCTGACAGCTTGGAATGTAAATGAAAACTTGTTCCATTTTCATTAAAGAAAAAAATCTAGAATAATGCATCCAGTGGTATCGAATACCTGTTAGAATGGCTTGTCTGCTATAATTAAACATGGGCAATTAGTTCCACATTGTTAAACACTGCCTTAAATTAATTCCTTCCTTTAATAAAAAAGTTTTTCTCAGTCATTTCAGATCTCTGTTACTCAGTTTTAACTAGCAAATTTGCATCTACATAAGGAATCTTCAAAATAGTGTATATTTAAAAAGTGCATATAAGCAAAACTAAATTTCTCAAATTGTTAACAAATTTAAAGCAAGAATTTAATATTATATTGTAAAATACAAGTAGACTTAACAGAAACATGCTTGGTCAATCTTTTGCTTTTAGGTTTGGTGCCCAAACATTTAAAAATAAAGAAAAAACTACCATGACTCTTTGCTTTTAAGATTTGCAGACACAGCTAAATACTCATCTAACAAAGTATCCAGGCTATCCAGCTATACTGCCATGAATTCATAAGACACTAACACACATTTATAACATAAAAGTAGTCAAAAAAATAAAAAATAAAAAATAAAAAGAAACAGCCACAGGTATTTTAGGGCTAAAATAAGTTGACCTAATAAGGGTTACATGAGAAATAACATATAAGACCCCAAATAAATTTTAGATACAAAATTAAATGATGTGGCTTTGTTCAAACATACCTAAAATTCAAACTCAAGTTAAATACCTACGCTGGCTTTTTTATATCACCAGCTTTCATTAGGGCCTTAATCGCTCTTGCCCTCATCTCAAGTTCTAGCAGCTCCAGTTGCTGTGCAGAAGGCTGAACATCTTCTGGTGGAGGAACAGCCAGAGTGGCCGCTTTGGGTTCGTTTGGGCTAGACTCTGCCAGTCCTAGAATCTCATTCACACTTTTCTCAATGTCTTTCTCCAGGTCATCTATCTGACCAGCTTCACTTTGGACTGTATTTTCTGGTGCCTCGGGAGCAGCTGCTTCTTCGTTGCATGGGCCTTCTATGTCGCTGTCATAAGCATCTGCATTTATACTGAGTACATCACTATCTTCCCCTTTTCCTGTAACAAAAAAAGCAGAAAGATCCATGTCAACCTAAATACCATGGGTCAAAATTTCCTTACTGTTTATAATTTAAAAACTGCTTTGATCCCACCTCCCACTATGGAGTCCCAAACACATTCCATAATCCCCATGCCACCCTCTTTTCCCCTGACTCCTCAATCTTCAAAGCAGATCTAATGCAATGTGAATTCAAATGTATTTTTCATTCTAATTTAGAACACGGGAACATTAAGAAATGTATTCCATCATATGGAGTGCCCATGATCTATTTTCCTAATTAAAATGTCATAACATTTTATATCACAGTAAAGCTTCTGCACTACAAAATGAAAGCTGACACTGGAAATCCTCTGGATAGAATATGGCTTATTATTCAAGTAGTAAAATTTCATTCTAGAAGGTGTTTAAAATACTTTGCTTTATAAACTACAAAAAAGAAAAAGTATCATCAGCAAGCAGTACAACATATGCATTGCAACTATCCCAATCTTTTCATATACTTTTTCAAACACTGTGTTCCAAATCAATAAATTAAAGAAGAATGCCTAAGGCCATTTTCCAAGGTAAAATGTGTTTTAATGATGATGATTTTAATTAACAAAGTTAGTACACCATAATTTTAAAAAATGTGTTTGTTATAAAACTTCTATAACAGATTATGGCTCTCCACCACCTTGTTCTTGGCATTGAATACTACTCAATTCCAGGCATCAATTGCAACTTTGAGTACTCACTTATATTCCCAATTAATTTATCTTTTAAATATTGAATTTTTTAAAAAAAAGTCATGATCCCCAAAATGTTAGCTGTCCCTACTATAAGAAAGCTTTAATAGTGCTTTCCTTACAGTAGGGAAAGCTTCTTTACAAAACATAGATTGATAGATGGTAAATTCTGGTAACAGACTGTACAGGAAGGACATAAACAATTATACTCCATCGGTTTTATAATAGATGATTTACTGACCTTCAGTAATCCTCCTACATGCTTATAATTCAAAAACCACCCCCATTCCAAAATTAAAGTGGAAAATAAAACAAAAAATCATTTTTGTGTCTATAAATAGAACTTGCAAAAAAAAAAGATTATCATTTTATTTGATGGCAAAGAACATTTTATATATGTCCATAAAGCAACAAATATTTCCAAATAGCAAAAAAAAAAAAAAAAAACTACAGAAAATTGAATATAACCTTTTAAGAAGCAATAATTTATACAAGTATTCTAACTTGAGACTAAAACAGATTTAAGAAAATAAGGCCGGTTGCGGTGGCTCATGCTTGTAATCCCAGCACTCTGGGAGGCCGAGGAGGGCAGATTACCTGAGATTGGGAGTTTGAGACCAGCCTGACCAACATGGAGAAACCCCGTCTCTACTAAAAATACAAAATTAGCCAGGTGCAGTGGCGCATGCCTGTAATCCCAGCTACTCGGGAGGTTGAGGCAGGAGAATCACTTGAACCCAGGAGACGGAGGTTGTGGTGAGCCAAGATCGTGCCATTGCACTACAGACCGGGCAACGAGGGTGAAACTTCGTCTCAAAAAAAAAGAAAAGAAGTGCTAAGTTGTTCACAGTCTCAAAAAATTAATTTTAGTGTCCACCAGGCTTTACCTAAAATTTAGAGTGTGTAGTCACTGATTCTGAATAAGAAACTATAGGCTGTATAAAATATTTTAAAAGACAAATTTTTGAAAAATGTGACTTGTTTTTCAGACTAGAGGTTGTTGCGAGATAATGAATGAAGAGCTGAATAATATAATGAGGGGGTGGAGAAGAAGAAAACTGGTAGTTGATTCAGAGGCTTGATCAGACTCAGGTTCAATTTTCTGGTAAGAATATTTAGAAGTGATGTTGTATACTTCCAGTACATAATATATAATTGCTTTTCTTTTTGTGATCATGTCAGTATCCACTGGGATTGGGTATTGTCTATAGCGGCTGATGACAATACTCTTGATTCCCTAAACCTAACCATTGTAATGCTTTTGTTTGTAATCTAGTTTTCTTCCTGTGGAAACTTTCAGGAATTTTTTTTTATCCTTGAATTCTGTTTCACAGGATGTGTCTTAGGTTTGATGTTCTACACTTGGCAAGCCCTTTCAGGGTGAAGGCCTTCTTCACCTTCTATCAGATTTTATCCAGATTATTTCTTTATTTTCCCTTTCCACTGTCTACTTTCTTGCTTTCTGATTTACTCTGACACTTTATCAAGTCCCTGCTCAAATGGTACCTTATCAGATCACGGTGATCACTCTCTGTGAAAGTGTCATCCTACTACTATCTTCTTATCCTGTTTTATTTTTCTTCATTGCACCTGACATTTTTATGTATTTTTACTCTCTCTACTACTCCAATGTAGGGCAGAGATTTTTGTTGTTCACTGCTGTTTCCTTGGTGCTTAAAACAGTGTCTTGTACACAGTAGGTGCTCAGTAATATTTGTTGAATTATATTCAGTTCCTGTTGGACTTCATGAGTTGTTCATCTTCATCTCTTAACTTTTATTGCACATTTAAAAATATTTTTTCCTGGATTTTGAGATATTTCCTTAACATTATCTCCCAGCAAATGCTGAATATTTGCTTTTTCGGTCGCTCAGGTTGGAATGCAATGGCGCAATCTCTGCTCACTGCAACCTCCACCACCAGGGTTCAAGCAATTCTCCTGCCTCAGCCTCCTGAGTAGCTGGGATTACAGGTGTGCGCCACCACACTTGGTTACTTTTTGTATTTTTAAAAGAGACAGGATTTCCCCATGTTGGTCAGGCTGGTCTCGAACTCCTGACCTCGTGACCCACCTGCCTTGGCCTCCCAAAGTGCTGGGATTACAGGTGTGAGCCACCACGCCTGGCCGATATCTGTATTTTTAAATTCTAACAATTCTTGGTCTCTGGCTTGTTTTCATTGCACCCTGTTTTATGGCTGCAGTGTCCACATTAGTCTCTCTAATAAGGAAATTAAATGGACTGTCTTCTTCCCCTTTCTTTAAAAGATTATCTTCTGATCCCCGGATTTTATTTCTTTTGTTTATCTTGGTCCTTCATTTGTTTTAGTTATGTTTTTCTGGTAGCTGGTTTTTCAGCAGTTGTTTATTTCTCTAACAGATCTTTTTTTTGATGTAAAGTGGATGTGGGGTAGGCCTCTCAGAGTAGAGTGCTTGGATGTAGGGAAAGAAGGAGGAGTTCAGTTGGCTTAATTATTCAAAATGAATTTAATTTTAATTGCCATGTTGTTTGTTCCACAGCCAATTCTTCCTCGCTTCCAAGACTCTCTAAGAAAGAGTTACACTTATTGGCCAGGCGCGGTGGCTCACGCCTGTAATCCCAGCACTTTGGGAGGCCGAGGCGGGTGGATCACAAGGTCAAGAGTTCAAAACTCGCCTGGCCGAGATCGTGAAACCCCATCTCTACTAAAAATACAAAAATTAGCAGAGCATGCTGGCGGGTGCCTGTAATCCCAGCTACTCGGGAGGCTGAGGCAGAGGACTGCCTGAACCAGGAGGCAGAGACTGCAGTGAGCCAAGATTGTGCCACTGCACTCTAGCCTGGGTGACAAAGCGAGACTCCGTCACAAAAATAAAAAAAAAAAAAAAAGAGTTACACTTATCTACGGTGTCTTTGGTTGTGATTTTCCTTTCTTTTGTCAATTTGATCCTGTTTACTTACATTTTGTGAAAACCATCACATTTCTCGTCTTTACATTATATCTTTTTTTGTTATACTATAAATTCATTTTTTCTTTTAATGCTTTTTACAGCTCATTCTTCTAAAAGGTTGAAGAAATACATGTTGGTTGACAGAGCAAAACGGGAAAATTCATTTTTCTTTTTTTTTTTGAGACAGAGTTTTGCTCCTGTTGCCCAGGCTGGAGTGCAATGGCGCAATTTCGGCTCACCACAACCTCCAACTCCCAGGTTCAAGCAATTCTCCTGCCTCAGCCTCCTGAGTAGCTGGGATTACGGGCATGCACCACCACTAAAAATAAAAATTTTCTATTTTTAGTAGAGATGGGGGTTTCTCCATGTTGGTCAGACTGATCTCGAACTCCCGATCTCAGGTGATCTGCCTGCCTCAGACTCCCAAAATGCTGGGATTACAGGAGTGAGCCACTGCGTCTGGCCAATTTTTCTTCTTCTTTTATTCCCCTTCCCAGAAGTAACCACTGTTAATAATTTAGAGTACTTAACAAAAACATAATTATCACTCTTTGGCTTACTTTTTGACTTAACAATATAACTTGGTCATATTTTTTAACCTTAGCAATGTACTAACTTTTTTTATAGACAGATAAAAATCTTCATTTTTACTAGTAAGTAAAAAGTAATATTTTGTTTTAATTTACATTTATCTGATTAGAAATTAGGTTGAGCTTTCTTTGCCACATGTGTACTGCCTTCTGTATTTCCAGTTTTGTGAAATATCTGACTTGTTTCTACCCTTTGCCCATGCTTTTGTTTCTTAACAATACCTCGATTCTATATATTCTTATATTTGCCCTTTTTAAAAACAAATCTGTTATTTTTTTGTAGTTTTCCTGTCTTATAAGTTTATTTGTGGCTTTTTTTTCTCAGAAATATTAACATTTAGCTAAATCTGTTGTTTTTTTTTTCCTTTGTTTATTCCCCATTTTGTGGTTTACTTTGGAAGGACTGCTGTTAGTTCTGTCATCAGTTAACTTACAACTTATGTTATTATTTTAAATATCTCTCTTCCGTCACTTCAGTGGGTTCTTGGTAGGGATGGGAAGTAGATACGTATGTTCAATTTGCTGTCTTTAGCAGAAATTCATACCAGTATCTAAATAATCCATGCTCTACAGTTTGTCTTGGCTTAATTTAATAATTCACTGTCAAGAGGTTTCACAAGCATATCACTCAAAACACTAGATATACTTTCACCTTATGCATAAGAACTGTTTCTGATAAGCTAAATTATTATCAACTAGAATATTCGTAAGTCCTATCAAGGTTTAAATACGTTAGCATAATTTAAAAGTTC